ACACTACACACACACACACACACACACATATATATATATATATATATGTGTGTGTGTGTGTGTGTGTGTGTGTGACACAAGTGTAGAATCATACACTGTTCTTAACATTCTTGTGTATGTACCATCCAGTTTCTTGTTCTGGGCTGCACTCATAGCCCATGACTCAGAGCTGTAGAGTAGAATGGTCATATACAGATAGATAGATGTTATGGGATAGTTTGAGGTCTAGTACAAGCTGATACTACCGGTAGAGATCACAAAAGACTCACCTTCCACTTGTGGGGTGTTGGAGACTGCCGGGAACGTGGAGACAAAACTAGTAGTGGTAGTACTAGCAGCAGCTGCAGTAGTACTGGTAGTCTGTAGTGTGTGTGTGTGTATGTACATATATCAGTGCGTGTGTTATGGATTTCACATTGCTACGGAATGTTCTAATGTGACTGTAGCTCATACAATGCCTATAACTTATTGCAGAAAAGATCACGTTTGGTGGGAGGGGAAGAGAAGCTGGAAAATTCCTTAGTATCTCCGGAGTTGCCGTGTCTGATGACAGTGAGATATTTGTGACTGATTTTATCAACCAACGAGTCCAGGTTTTCAGCATGAATGGGGCCTATCTCCGCCTGTTCCTAACGCGAGTGCCGGGTGAATCTAGAAAAATGCATATGCGTCCTTCCAGTGTTGCTTTTGACGTGGATTCTGGCTACCTGTGGGTACTGGGGAGTGTTGTGACTGGGCATGGGGGTGGAGATTGTGACACTGTACACGGATACATGCATGTCGTACAGTACAGTACGAAAGGCCAGGCCAGGAAGAAGTTCAACCCATGGTTCACGAATCTGAGTCGTGATGATCGAATTGGAAAGCCCGTCATTGCGATAGACACGCGCAACAATAAAGTCATCGTGGGGGAGGGATATACAATAAGGATGTTTTATCCAAACGGGACTCTCTATCGGTGTTTCAAAGAAATCGCTAATTATAAAGCTCGAAGGATGGGCTTTGGGGGAATCGCGTTGGATAAGAAGGGAAATATTCTACTTACAGATGGGCATAAAAGCGTCAAGAAGTACAGCCCCTCCGGAGTTAAGATTTGTGAATTTGGAACGACTGGAGGAGCTAAGGGCCGACTGCGTTCACCTACAGGTGTTTGTGTGGACACCTCAGGTCGTATCATCGTGGCAAACAGTGGTCACAATCGAGTAGACATGTTCACAAGCCGGGGCGAGTTTGTCCGCACCATCGTGGGAATGGAAAAGCCGTGGGCCATCGCTATGGGACCCGATGGCCAGTTGGTGGTGACTGGCCGATACACTTACAGGTATACTGTAACTATCTTTCCGCGCCGCATGGTGTTTACTTAACATAATTCTCTAGCCAACGCCCGATCAAAAAGAATGAAAACTAGGTTTACTGAAAATACAGAAGTAGTAGAACATTGTTGAGTATATGTACCATGTAGATTCTGTTTTACCTTTCTTGAACGAAACATAAGAGCTGCACGCATTGTACAGAATATCTTTTGTGGTACCAGAAACAAATGATCAAACCTGTACTTAAAACACGACTGTTGCCTTAACAATAATACTACAACGAGGCAAATTGTTCAATAATTAACTGTTTAGACAACCCTATATTTCAACCAGTAAGAAGTAACTGAACATCTATGGTGTCAATGTAGCCAAGAAACATGTAGCATATCAGTATGTGGTGAATTGGCAAAACATATTCAAGTAAAACCAACATGTCAGCTACAACCAGAGTTTGGACGAAGCGCATGTACGTACGTTTAATCTTAGCGCTGACATGAATTGTCTAGCTTCAGAAGATGACTCGTGGGCTGCTTCATCTACATAGAAATGAATTGATTCTGTCTGCACATTGCAATGAAGCATAGCCGTAGTACAACTAATCAAGTTGTAGTGTGTATTGTTTCTTACAATTTCAAAAATACATTGCCAGGGAAAGACATGGTGCTTCTTTCCTATATAATATTGTTACAATAGTGATGTTCTCATATGAAAGACCTTTATTGTACGTTTGTGCTCTAACGAGCTAAGTACAGGTCATGGGTAAACAGGGAAAAGAAAACAGTAGTGACACTTACATACTATATAAACTAACGCGATCTACTATTTACAGGTTCAGCTTCTTCTCGCTTCTTGGCGCAGTTAAAGATGTACGAACATATTGAGCTAATGATACATGGTTTGTCAAGTTTCATGAGGAATTCGAATTTTGCTATTCTATCTAAATGTCTAAAGCTTGGGAACTTATCTATTACATAAGTATAGAGGGAATCCCTCTCGTTTCTATATAATGTGCAGTCAACTACAAAATGGCATTCATCTTCAATATAATCTAGATTACAAAATTGGCAGATCCTTTGCTGTAGAGGAATGTGGTTGTGTCTTCCCTTTTCTATGCGGAGTTTGTGTGAACTTATCCGGAGTTTTGTGATGGCTGTTCTGTGTCGAATGTTCGTAATTCTCAGATATTTTTCCTCGTGGTGTTTTTTAGTAATCCGTATGTTCGTAATTTGTTGTTGTTATGAATTTCTGCTGTAAAAGTTTGGAAATACATGCCCTTTAAACGTTGATCAAATGATGGAATAATTTGTGAAGAATTTAAGACATACGACATCGGCGAATTCCATACGTAGGCAAAACCACACTCCTCTAGCGTTTTGCGGACTCCCGAAGCCCAGCATTTAGTGCCGGATACATCCAGTTCAAGTTGACACAATAGGAGAGGGACCAGTGTAAGCGCATGCGGGGTAAGGCCACTTTGAGTACCCACGATTTATTTTTGGACTTATTTTTGAAATAATATTTTTTCCTGGGCAAATTTTGCTCATACAGACCCATTTTTGTGGTAAGTAGGACAGAAGAATGTGTATTTTTCAAATCTGCCCAAAAAGTTTGACCTTTGGCAAGACTTGACCTTCTATCGACCCCGAGATGGGTCCTGGGTGAATGGACTGTTCCACTTGGACAGGGGGTGAAATCCAGGTATCATTTCAGTATTTGGGCTGTAACTCAAAAACAGGCAGGAGTCGAACTTCCACTATTTGTACCAAAAGAAACCTGACAAATTCAGCCTTGCAGTGGGGTTTGGAATAAAAGTAAATGTGTTTTTAAATGCTTGTTTCTAGTGGTTTTTAAGTGCTTGTTTCTAGTGGTTTCACCATAGAATTCCAATGGAAGCTTCATTCACTGGTCCCTCCCCAATAGAGCGTCTGCTGAGAGACTATCAAACGGCACGTTCTGGCGTATTCTGATATAGTGTTTAATGGCGTTTAGAGATGCTTCTAGTTTGAGGGGATAACGTCCCAATTCCGCCATTACGGCAAGATTGCAGGCGGATCTGGGAACGTATAAAGAAAGTTTATTTTCCATAGCCCGGGCTAAGCCACGATCTATAACCTATGGCTTCTCCACGGGCGCTGGGGACGAGCGTGAGACAAGGCTCTGATTTAATGTTTTGTTTCTTACTTTTATGCAGTGATATGTGATGTTGGATGTGTATATGTGATGTTCCCTCAAAATCAAAAGCATTTGCACAATGATTGAGTCAAAATTTTTAAATGTAGGAACCTTGTTTTTTTCGGCCTGCTTGTTTTTTTTCGACCGCTCGCATTAGATTTGGAGACTGCAGAGGATGTCATCCATAAAATTTACTTGCTGTGGCCTAAGGGAAATATGAATGACATGCACTTCAAAAAATTCTCGCCAGGAGAAGGAGGTTCTGCCCCCGCAAAACCTTGAGCAAGAACTTGTTTTTCATGTTAATAGCCTGAAGTGACTACGAGCCTTATTGCGTCAGGGGAACTTCCAAACATTCTCGCTAGGAGGAGGACGCTCTGTTGCCTAAAACATTTAGCCAGTCAAATAGAAGTTCTGCCTGTATTGCAAAACTACAGTGTCTTGCTGCAAGTGGAGCTGAATATACTAGCTAGTGTTACAGTCAATGAATGGTTAAAAAAGACACAGACAACAGATATGTGACCCCATGACTCCGCTTTATTCCGTATGTACGGAACTCCGGATGTTTCCTTGCCTCATCACAAAACATACAACACAGTACATCTTGCCTATCAATACATTACAACACAGTAATCAAGAGACAACAGTTCACTTGTCAACGGCATTAATAGCTTTTTGTGTTTAGCCGTGATTCATTCGAATGCATGTTCTCAGTGTAGATGTGGTGTATATGTCACAGGGGAGATTGGAATCCAGGGGGATCCGGAATCCTCCTATGGGAGATTGGAATCCCTATCTCCCCTAGGAATCCCTATCTCACAATGGCCTGATGCAAATATCTGAGTCTGATTTATATATTCACTTACCTATGCTGAAAGTGATTGAAAGTTTAGGTGTGAACTAACTCCCAAGCATTTTGATGCAATCAAAATTTCTCCTTTTAAAATTGGAGATTGTCCTGTAAAGATTCCCCATTGTCCTAGGACAAATTGGACAAATCTCCCCTAGGTGGATTCCGGATCCCCCTGGATTCCAATCTTGCCTTTGACATATATATATATAATTATATAGAAACAGTTTACAAACAACGATTGCTCATATCCCCTCCCCTTCTTTATAAAAACATGTACTTGATCTCAAGATAAGCACACATTTAGATCCCAATGCAATATTTACCATAGAAATGATGTACTGTAGGGTTTACAGACAACGATTTCTCAGACCCCCCCCCCCAATTAAAACGTGTACGTAGTACAAGCAAAGCTGCACATCGAAATACATTTGGCATAGAAATGATGTACTGTTAAAGTTGTGGTTACAATTCTAAGGGTGATATGACATTGATAAGTGAACTATGATAAGTGAACTATGTCACATTGAACCCTGTGTCCTACTAATTGAGACATTGTCACATTACCCCATTTTTTTCATCGCGTCTCGTAATAAGCTGACGAGAAAAGGACTTTATCATGACTAGTAGCAGATTCTAAAATATTGAAATTAGCAAAGTAGATTTTGCACATAAACTTAGGTAGAAGCTGCATTAGTAATAGAAATCACCGAATAATAAGACGCAGCAGTCAAAGATTAGAAAACGCCTTGTTGTCTACTATGCGCCAGAGGTACGTGAGTACAACATCGAAACGCCCAGTGAAGTTCATGCTTGCTATCCAACCCAAGCTAAACGTCACCAGAGAGGCTGTGATAAAATTCACCAACACTAACTTTAGGCCGAGAAAAAGCTGATTACAGCGTCTCTAAGTTTAGATAGGGAGCCTTAACTATTGGTATATAATAATAAAATTTACTTCACTGAGTTTAGATGAAGAGCCTAAACTGCGGTTAAGACGGAGCTAGTGTACTATTGGTGTATGATAATAAAGATTACTATTTAGATGAAGATACTATACTATTGATATATGATGGTAAGGTTTGCTAAACTAAGTTTAAACGGAGTTAATGTACTTTTGGTGTATGTATGATAATAAAGGTTACTAAAGGTTAGATGGAGAGACTATACTATTGATATATGATGATAAGGTTTGCTACACTAAGTTTAAACGAAGATAATGTACTTTTGGTGTATGTATGATAATAAAGGTTACTAAAGGTTAGATGGAGAGACCATACTATTGATATATGATGATAAGGTTTGCTACACTAAGTTTAAACGGAGTTAATGTACTTTTGGTGTATGTATGATAATAAAGGTTACTAAAGGTTAGATGGAGAGATTATACTATTGATATATGATGATAAGGTTTGCTACACTAAGTTTAAACGGAGATAATGTACTTTTGGTGTATGTATGATAATAAAGATTATTAAAGGTTAGATGGAGAGACTATACTATTGATATATGATGATAAGGTTTGCTACACTAAGTTTAAACGGAGTTAATGTACTTTTGGTGTATGTATGATAATAAAGATTATTAAAGGTTAGATGGAGAGACTATACTATTGATATATGATGGTAAGGTTTGCTACACTAAGTTTAAACGGAGTTAATGTACTTTTGGTGTATGTATGATAATAAAGGTTACTAAAGGTTAGATGGAGAGATTATACTTTTGATATATGATGGTAAGGTTTGCTACACTAAGTTTAAACGGAGTTAATGTACTTTTGGTGTATGTATGATAATAAAGATTATTAAAGGTTAGATGGAGAGACTATACTATTGATATATGATGGTAAGGTTTGCTACACTAAGTTTAAACGAAGATAATGTACTTTTGGTGTATGTATGATAATAAAGGTTACTAAAGGTTAGATGGAGAGATTATACTATTGATATATGATGGTAAGGTTTGCTACACTAAGTTTAAACGGAGATAATGTACTTTTGGTGTATGTATGATAATAAAGGTTACTATTTAGATGAAGAGACTATACTATTGATATATGATGGTAAGGTTTGCTACACTAAGTTTAAACGGAGTTAATGTACTTTTGGTGTATGTATGATAATAAAGGTTACTAAAGGTTAGATGGAGAGACTATACTATTGGTGTTTGATGGTAAAGCTTGCTACACTGTCTGTCAAGTTTAGACGGAGAGTCTATACTATTAGCTTAAAAACTGTGTCTTACAAGAAGTCTGAAACGGATTCAAACTGTAATTGCCTACAAAAAATGAGACTTATTCAATGTTTTGACTGTTCAGCTCCATTCCTTGCCAGGATAGAAGCTAAAGGCTCGAGTTGAACAGTGGGAAAATATTGATTACGTCCAGTTTTTCTGAATGGCCACAGTTTAAACCTGTTCTATATTGTATATTTTTGTTGTTATGACGATAACGTACACAAGTTCAATACACTGCTTAATCCCCTGGACTTACGAACAAACAAACTTACAGTTTGGTTAACTTTGGTGTATGATAATAATATTCATTATACTACGTTACACGCTTGAAAATCTGTACTACTGCTTACAATAATTCTGTGCTGTTGAAATGTTGTCTTGACGTAAAAAGTTGTTACGCTGACGTCATGTACCTCATCCTCTTACTTGTTCACAGTGTAGTCTGTAAGAAAAAGAGGTGCTTGTTCGTAAATACCGTAGCATCAAGCACATTAAATGTCATATTATAATATAGATTTAACCCTATCTAAATTGTTTTTTTGGGGGGATTTGTGGGACTACACATACATAAACGTATATATGTGGGACTAGGAGGGTCTCATTCGCCCCCCCCCCCTCTTTTAAGTCGAGAACGGTATATCGTATGGCCACCAAATAGATTATAGTGTGCTTGTGAAAATAAACCATTTTCACATTTTTGTGTCATTATTACGTAATGTGACATCATTATGACGTCATTTATGTTTTAATGACCAAAACCATCCAGATAGGTTATTCTTGTAAAACTGAATGATATGCAACAAAATCTAACTAAAACTGTGTTTAAAAGAACATTCAGGCCTTCTTAGACTTGTTACCCATAGCAACAACGCTGACGTAAAAAATGACGTCATACATAGTGAAGCTGTCCACCAAGATACGGCCTAGATAAGCAATGGGAATTGACAATCGTTCCTATGTGGGGTCTATTTTTTAAAAAATTCGAAGTTGTGATTAAATTTTAATAGAGTGGGTATATCAAGATCGTGTACCTCAACATTTCTATTACTCTGTCATTCTATTGCCTTTTTTAAAACTGATGGTGATGGTGAAGACATTTTAAAGTAGGATCTGAATAAATGGCCGAAACATGGCGAACAATTTATCTGCCCAGTCACAAAGTCCATGATCAGTTCTGGTTCAACGTGGCTAACTCATCTGAACTGTATTTATTTTAACCTATTTGAAAAATGTGTGGGTTCTTTTTCACACGAAGCATGCTAGCTGTGAAGATGTTTTGTGCGAATGTTTTTAAGCGCCCAATTTAAACGTTGTCAATTTGGACAGAGTTTGCAATATTTCCAGACACATATTTCTATGAACACTACGTCTAATCCCTAATATTTTGACGATAACGTCAAACATGTCTTCCTTACCCATCTGACAGATGTAGGGCAGTCGGTTCCAGCAGGTCAGTACAACCCAGCGACTCAGTCTGTTGGTCCTCCACAGTGCCCCGCAGTCCCTGCGCTTGTGATTGGCTCTGGACCGGAACTTGCGATAGCTTCCCAGCGGGGTTCCGTCATTCCATACGAACCTACGCTCCCTGTTCAGGTCATCCAGGCCCATCCAGTAAGTCCTAAGATAAGGAATGGACGAACGATTCAATAAATGAATGAATGAGCACAGGTTTTGTTATCGTTGTATGGGAAACTAGAAAGCTGTTTTTTTTTTTACTTTTTTATAAATAAAGAAACGATGTATTAAATACAAATGTTACACTGTTTCAATGTAGGAATACGCAACTAATGTACCAGATATACGCATTGGTATAACCGTATATAAGTAAATTGGTATTTCTATAATGAGAATTCCTTAAAATTATTATTCTACCCCAATTGGTTGGGGGCTTATCCTTTGCATAGTTTTAAAATAACATCTATGTTGGGATATCCACCCGGGATAACCGGCAGACATTTTAGGAGAGACGTTTCTTTCGCAATTTAAATTGCATAACAGCAATACACGAGAACAGGCAGCAAATTTAATTAGCTCTTGATGTGCTTCAAGAAATATGATTCCAGATATTAATTTCAAAAAGTTACGCCACTATTATATTATTTACCTCAGAGCTAAGCGACCACTGATTCTCTTTATGTTCTCCGTGACGAATGTCTGCACACCGGCGTCTTTTATCATAGCCAAGGTGCCGCTATGGGACCCGCACACCTGTCGGGCTGCCCGGTAGTTCAGCCGGCGGTCGCTCCTGGTGGAGAACCAGAAGCACTGGTTCTGGTACCTGCCAAAGTTGCTGGCAGGGAGTAGGCCAGGAAAGAGGACGGAGCAATCTAGGACTAAAGATGAAGAGACAAAATGATAGTATCTGTCAAGATAACAAACTCAGCTGCATTTCCTCATAAGCCACGATGAAGCCATTTTACCTCACCATGTAAAGTTCACTTTCTTTTAAAACATTTATTCAATCAGGCATTTATTCAAAAGCACGCTACAACTGAATAGACAGTACTAGCATATATCAATTTACAGGATAAATATACGTCTTACGATCGCATGTTGGAACAGGATTACTCCATGTTCCGTCAGCTTGGCACGTCGCAGTAGCAGCGCCGTTCAGTACGTATCCCGGGTTACAGGTGAAGGTGACCGAGTTCGGGTAGGAGACAGCTCCGGTAGGAGTCACCGCTCCGTTAGCTGGGGCCGCCCGAGTCGGGCATTGGATCGCTGCAATGGCTGGTACAAAAATAAGCATTTTCGTTGCAAGGACACTTTGATAGGTAAAGCCATTCATCAAAATTGCACCATGGAGGAGGAAAAGCACGTTAAAATGAATAGATTTATTGGTTGAGTTGAGTTGTTTATTGCAAATTCATGCCCGAGGGCTAATTGCATACAGACATTGACAAGAAAAATGTGATGATATAAGACTATTTGCTAACATGAAGTTCTAAGTGTACGGTATACTTATCAAACGTTGGTATACATACAGGATAAAAAAGTAAATATCCAATATGTGAACAGGTAAGAGGAACAAGGTAACTGCTTTTCTAATCTATTCTATTCTATTAAACTATTCTAGCCATGCTATTAGGGGGTTTGACTTCTTCCCAAAGTTGTTCTTCCCAACTGTCAGGGCATTGGGGTAGATATAGTCAAGTCAAGTCAAAGTTTATTGCGCAACGATTGTCACGGGTCCAATGTATGGCAAATAATAAGATTACTAGTTGGTATGTGTCTAACATAATGCTATACATATGGTCAACGGACATTGTATCTGACAGTATTATAATAATAACTTTATTGCACAACAGTTGTACATGGTACAAAGTATGGCAAAACTTATCTATAAACTTAACTATGGACTAAACTAACTAATACAGGAGTTTGTGGCTGATATAGGATGTGAATGAACTTTTACAATATTGGAGGAATTTCTTATGTCTAGACATTGTTTGATATACATTCCTATATCTACCATACATGAGTTATCACAGGTCATTATTATCTTAAATTTGCTACTTAAATCCATCGATGTAAATTCTGGTACATATACTACTGGCTAGAGAATATGAGGGGCGATCGTTATAAGGTGCAATTACAACACATACTTATCTGACAGATGAATCCCCGGGGGAGGCTGCACGGGGCATCATTCCATTCGCCGCTGGTTCGAAAATTGGTCTCGGCACAGTGTTCTCCCCCGTTAGCATTGTTCGGCTCGCCGGTGTACCAGTTGGAATAGCCGGATGACGCCAGGGTTTGACCGTCTGCGAATACCCACTGCGCTTCGTTCACGGTGTCTGTCCGTACTTCATCAGCTCCTCCCCCGATGAACGTGTTGATCGCGCTGTTCTTCGGCATGGCCAGCAGTCCCCCGTCTGCCGCACACGTCTGTCTAGCCTCGTCGTATGTCTTCGGGTCTGCAAAGTCCTTGTAGCAAACTCCGTTAAAGCTAACGTAGCCTGCTATTGGACACACTAGAGAAAAAAGGTAACCATACTAGGTGACTTAACAAACATGTACTTGCCATTCACCAACAAACCGCTAGTATAAAATAATGCTGTTGACCTTATACATCCGCTAACACCATCCATTTGAAAGTCTAAGGTGGATTTTTAGGACATGTTGCAAAAATCAGTACGACTGAATTTCAAAGATGAACACAAATTGATTACAAATGAAAGGAATAGAATCATTTTAATTCACAAAATCAAAATAAAGGCCAAGACTACATTTCCAACCACGCAACATACTAGTATCGTAGTACCAGATCAAATGTCATAATGGTTATATTTCTTATAAGTGTCCTAAGATGAGTGAGAAACAACAATAACATTCAAGAAGATCCACTTATCCGGCAAGGAATTAGTATTAAAAGGGTCAAGGGTCAATTCTTCCCATATCCTCACCACTATAGTATTGGCGTCAAAAGCTCATTTTGCAAGAAATTCATTGCGTGTTAATTCCGAATTCATCTTACGTGTGCAAGTTGGAACAGGATTACTCCAAGTCCCGTCAGCTCGGCATGTCGAACCAGTAGTGCCGTTCAGTACGTATCCCGAGTTACAGGTGAAGGTGGCCGAGTTCGGGTAGGAGACCGCTCCGGTAGGACTCACCGCGCCGTTAGCTGGGGCTGCCCGAGCCGGGCATTGGACCGCTGCAATAGGAAGTAAGAAAAACAAGCTTGGTAAAGGTAGATATACAATTACAATATCTTGGGTATGACTTCGGCCAAGTAGGATATGAACATCTATGTGAGGAATCGGTTTTTCTATTCAGAAACCTGGACCAGCCTATATACCAAATATATTGGTCACTGCACTGAGGAAGGAAAGGTCTTTGTATTGGCGTCAAAAGCTCATTTAACAAGAAATTCATTGCGTATATTAGTTCCGAATTCATCTTACGTGTGCATGTTGGAACAGGATTACTCCATGTCCCGTCAGCTCGGCATGTCGAACAAGCAGCGCCGTTCAGTACGTATCCCGAGTTACAGGTGAAGGTGGCCGAGTTCGGGTAGGAGACCGCTCCGGTAGGACTCACCGCGCCGTTAGCTGGGGCTGTCCGAGCCGGACATTGAACCGCTGCAATAGGAAGTAAGAAAAACAAGCTTGGTAAAGCTAGATATACAATTACAATATCTTGGGTATGACTTCTGCCAAGTAAGATATGAACATCTATGTGAGGAATCGGTTTTTCTATTCATAAACCTGGACCAGCCTATATACCAAATATATTGGTCACTGCACTGAGGAAGGAAAGGTCTTTGTATCGGTGTCAAAAGCTCATTTAACAAGAGTTCCGAGATCTCATACCTCCATGAAATATGGGCTTGATATGTAAATGTAAATTTCTTCTTTAATTATGCAAATGACCTCTGCATTAACATAATATATGCATCGTGATGTTAACTTTTGATTAACTTAAAGATGTCCCAAGTAAGACATTCCCATCATTCACCATTGAGAAATCATATATTTTTTGCATTAATTATGCAAATTAGGTCATCATTTGCATAATTAGTATCTGTTGATGTTCCATCTGCCATAGGTTACATACATTACATGTATGAAAGTTCTATAATGTAAAACACTGTAATTATAGAATTTCCTCATTAATTATGCAAATAAAGTCCTCATTTGCATAATTTGCAGTTAATTGTGTACATCTCTCTGTCAGATACCTACACACCAAAAATGATGAAAATACGCTGTTCCTATCTGGACTTATTGGCTTTCAAAGATTTCGCCCGAAAGTCCCCTGCAGTTCCTGAACAAGCTGCTAGGGGGACCAAACCCACACCACTTATTCCTAACAGGAAAAGCTATCTGTCACCAAAAATTGAAGACCATAGCATGTTCAGGACAAAAGATACAAAAACCGGAAGTTCTGCTGCAGTACCAAGGTCATCCACCAGGAGGCCCATATTTGACCTTGACCTTTGTCTTCCTAAGACTTATCAGCATACCAAATATCATCACAATCCATAAAGGCGTTATGAAGTTATGCTGACTACAAAGTTGCGGAAACACACACAGACACACACACAGACACACAGACAGACGCCGCCAAAAACAATACCTCCATTTTTCATGGAGGTAACAAGAAATTCATTGCGTATATTAGTTCCGAATTCATCTTACGTGGGCATGTTGGAACAGGATTACTCCATGTTCCGTCATTACGTGCCTTTGCAATTCGGGGATAAGGCCACTTTCAAGTGAAACCAGCTATCCGAAACAAAATAGGCTGATACCACTGAAAGTATCAGCCTATTCCACTTCAGGACCTGTTCTTTCAACCTAGCATGTACCAATTGCAACGGCAGTGCCGACCAACTACTAAACGTGGTAATATATATATAGACCTGCAGGTGGTCTTACCTTGGCAAGTTGGAATAGGATTACTCCAAGTCCCGTCAGCTTGGCACGTCGCAGCAGCAGCGCCGTTCAGTACGTATCCCGAGTTACAGGTGAAGGTGACCGAGTTCGGGTAGGAGACCGCTCCGGTAGGACTCACCGCTCCGTTAGCTGGGGCCGCCCGAGTCGGGCATCGGATCGCTGTAATGGAAAGTTTAAAGAAACGTCAAATCTTGATTTAAAATCCACAATATCTTGTGTATGAGTCTTGTGCATCTAAGTGAGAAATATTTCTTTACAGAAACCTGTACAACCAGCCATATATAATAGAATACACTATAAAACGACAGTCGTTAGTAGACGTCTGTTTGCCAAGATTTGAACGTTGAAAGTGGCCTGCCTTCTCATTTTCTCAAAGATATAGTGCGGTTACGTCGATGAAGGTTAGACATCCAGGTAATACGATACGCCAAGAAGCAGTTACGCAAGCAACTGGATATGATTTTAGAAACGGTCAGACGTTTCAGCTAGTATCCATTAGCTTTCGTCAGTGACTGCATTCTCCTCTGGTCTCCCAGTCACTGACGAAAGCTAGTGAATACTAGCTGAAACGTCTGACCGTTTCCAAAATCATATCCAGTTGCTTGAGTAACTGTTTTTTTGGTATATAGTGCGGTTATTATGGGTTCACCACACCAAGAAGTGGTGGTGAACCCATATTGCTTTTTCTGATGTTTCTTCTCCTCCTTCTCCTCCTCCTCCTGCCATATCTTTAAATGGATTCAGCTTCTTCATTTTAGGGCTTAAGGTCCTGAAATTTGGTATGGAGGTACAGTGGGCAAATACCCCTAGGCGTTTTTTAAATTTTTGTGATACAGGCTTTTAGAATGGTTTTATTTGAGTTTTTTGGCTGTGTTATAGCAAATGTATTACTGTGTTAGTGTGCCGTGTTTACCACGTCTGGGCATGAGTCATCACAATGGAATGCAGGGCATCAACCAATAGGCATGCATCTTTCCTCTATACTTCTTGCTGATTGGCTGTTGGGATTTAACTTGATTAACACCCGCACAGAGCATTTCCACCTGCACAGAGCATTTCTTGCTGATTGGCTGTTGGGATTTAACTTGATTAACACCTGCACAGAGCATTTCCATACTGACAGTATGTCTTTATTCAAGTGTTTTGGTAGGTATTTCAAGCTTTTCTGCTCCAGCATTGGAATGCGGGGCATGAACGTTTTTTATTTTATTTTGAAAATCAACAGTTTGCATTATGCAATTAAAAATCCTAACCAATAAAGTAGGGAATAGCTATCCAACTGTTGTTTTAGTTGTATGTTACTTCATATTATAGTTATATCAATGTAAAACTAAATCATTGTTTTCCCTTGTGTTTCTCATTCTTTCCCTGCCATGTGGTAAAATGTGGTGAACCCATCGCTGTATTTGCTCCAAAGCAAATATTGGCCTTTCTAGTGTTAAACTTGATTTTGCTATTAGATGTCGTCTTACGTGTGCAAGTTGGAACAGGGTTACTCCATGTTCCGTCAGCTCGGCATGTCGAACCAGCAGCGCCGTTCAGTACGTATCCCGAGTTACAGGTGAAGGTGACTGAGTTCGGGTAGGAGACCGCTCCGGTAGGACTCACCGCTCCGTTAGCTGGCGCCGTCCGAGCCGGGCATTGGATCGCTGTAATGGAAAATACAAAAATATTTTTTTTGCAAAGTAAGGATCGAATCACAATGTATTCCTTCTGCAGAGTAGGGCATGTACATTAGATGATGCACACTTGTACACTCCGTTGTCCTCACGACTCACAGATGTAATGGTTAAAATGATGGTCACCACGTTTTCACCGTTCACTACTTCTATATCTTTAACTACACTGATCTGTCCTCCAGGTGTGATAGCGCTGCTGCTGTCGTTGTACCAAGTGATCACAGGTGTTGGCACACCTGTACTGATGCAGGTGAATGTTGCTTGACTACCAATATTTATTGTTTGATCCATGGGATGTTGTGTTACTGTGGCAGGCCCTGTACAACACGGGTAAAAATACCGCGTTGAATATACATTTGTACATATACCAACAGAGATAGTAACCGATTGTGATCGTGAACATAGAATCTAAGTGATGCCTCAGACAGTCGGCATTCACTTAAAAATGTGGAAAAATCTCATTCTAGCAATCTAGTCTACACCTAAACATCCAAAAGGACCCATCGACGTTACAAGGAGGCATAACTCTCAAGATTAAAATTGTCTGTATGGCTGTATGAAATTCAATACAGACGTAGTAATATATGCAGTCTGTGAAACAAACACTTGGAATTTCCTAACGGGTTTGGTCCATTCTGTCCTAATGAGATTGAAGATGAACAACATTTTATTATGAATATACATGTGATGATAAACGCACAAACCTGTTCAGCCTTCTTTCCTCTTTCTCAGCGGAATTTGTTACATTTCATGCTATAGATAAGTTCAATTTTGTTCTAGAAAATAAAAAGTCTGGAAAAGTCTGGTTCTGACTCTAGAAAAGTCTGGTTCAAAATCGAGGACTTCTATGCAAGAGGAATGAAGGAGGTGGTGTACATTAGAGCTCACAGACCTACCCTGAACAGAGACGGGGGGCGACACCGGTTACATGTGTATGGCCCGCTACTACGGTCACGTGTCTTTGACGTCACGTACCAAGAGTAGACGGGTCCATTCCGTGAACAAGGTTAAAGGAGGCAGCCGAAAATTTGGGGTAATAAGTCCTAATTCATTCCAGTGTTGTAAGGAAAGTTAGGCATGTCAATTCTGTTGTACCCAAGTATCTGTCTGTATGTCTGTATGTATGTAAAAGACCTTTCGAAAATAGCTGTACTTTTGTTGTGTCAAAAGTTCATGTGACTAATTTAAACTAGACCGTACTTATCTGACAGGAGTCTCCCTCCCAGCCTGCTGCACATCCGCCGGCACACGCTCCTGTTTCCTTGTGACAGGCTGAGTTTCCGGATAAACAGTGACAGTTTTGAGTACAGCTCGCGCCATACGTACCGTCCGGACACGCTAGGAAAACACATAGAAAAACGATTCCATTAGTTACGTTTTAAAATACATAGAAAAGAGTAAGAGTTGTCTTCTGTTGAACTTGACTGTGACTGAAAGAATGCACTGTCTCACAACTGAAAAAATGTCAGTTTTAAAGATGTTCAGTGTAGTTTTAGGGGTGAAAAGTCAGATTTTTCAAAGTCAATATTCTAGTCACGTATCTACATATATAAGGCGGAACAACACTATTCCAATATATATTGACATCCATTGAGCAAAGGTGACTAAAATTGTGATGGAAAATGGTTAGTGGTAGGATCCTGGGCTGATGTTTGAAGCACCACCCAGAAAATAAAGGACTCATTTTGGGGGTGCGTTTCTGTGCTTTGCAGTATGAAATACATGATGCAAATGTGCAAATGTGGGGTAGTGTGTATCAATATCATACAGATTGCCTTATTCAGAATATTTCCAATCTTGCCACCCTGAAATTGCATCGGATACCTTTAAAAGTGTAAAATGAATTTTGTGAATATATTACCGTCTTGACACGTCATTCCGGTGAGCCCAGGAGGACAGGTACACCCTACCGGATCCGGAACCGTCATCAGCTGGCCCTGACAGCCTCCACTGCAGCTGAACCTACACGTCTTACCGAAACGTCCGGACGCACAGGCTGTTTTAACAATGGAAAAGTCAATGAAACGGTCAAAACGTGTACAGAATCATATAAGCGATGCTTTACTAGTTTATTTTGAGAATGTGAATAAAAATCTGCAAGTAATATCCTAGTACTGTGTTCTACTGAAATGATATTCTGTTAGCCTTGTTACCAAACCTATTATAGCTCCCGAGTTCTACATCCTCTCCGTAGGACTCGGGACCTATAAGAGGTTTGGTAACCAGGCTTTATTCTGTAATCCGAGACCATAGCGTGTCAAGGACAAAAGATACAAAAACTGAAAGGTCTGCTGCAGTACCAAGGTTAGTCACCAGAAGGCCCATATTTGACCTTGAACTTTGTCTTCCTATGACCTACCAACATACCAAATATCACAATCCATAAAGGCGTTCTGAAGTTATGTTGACTACAAATGTGCAGAAACACACACAGACACACAGACAGACAGAGACACATAGACACTAAAAACACTAAAAACAATACCTCCATTTTTATGGAGGTAATTATCCAGCTGTTTCAAATCTATTTGCACCCAAGGCCCTGTTTTGCACCCTTGGGCCCACAAAAAGCGATTGGATCGTGCATTGCATGTATTAGAACAGAGATAAAGAACATATAGCCATGACGAGGCCTTTTGAACATAAAGAGTGTTACCTGTCCCACAGTAAGTTCCGTTGAAGCCCGGAGGACAGACACACTCGCCTGTCTGATCATGACACACCCCTCCGTTATAACAGTCGGGACAGTCATTGGAACAGTCAGATCCGTACTTGTTCTCTGCACAGGCTATAACACAAGGTGTTAATTTGTTTGGAACGGAAGAAGAAGAGGAAAAAACTGAGCAAAAACAACATGCTCTCCTTCGATAAACATAATCATAACTACCTTTTGATTGTACTTACGTTTTTGTATTATTGCCTTTATTACTATGAGTTGTGGCTCTTGGTTTAACAAGTTTGTTTTATTACCACCTCACTGAGTTGCGGCATTATATAGTACTCTTACTCTCATTTGTACTAAGTTGACTTTAATTTGTACTTATAAGTTGACTTATCATTTTGTTATATCTATTATTTTCTTGTATATTTTATTTATGTATGCCTGCAGGGCACATTGAAAAACGCCTTAGTGGCGATATGTACACCCTGGGTAAACAAATAAAAACAAACAAACGAACAAATAATAGTTGTTGTTGTTTTCTTCTGAAGTTGTCTTAAATTTCCCATCAGGCCTACTTAAAGTTGGACAGAATTGAAATGTTATTCATGTTCATCGCTGAATCATCCTAAGTGCACATCAAAGGGAAATATGGAGAAACGCAACCATCAACGACTTGCTATGTGGTGTCATATCAACTCAATGAAGCAAATAAAAATACTATATTTTTATTAATAATTGATGTGATGATCCCCACATCCCCATATGCATCCACGTGGAAGGAAACGTCATGAGATTATTGTTGTGAAATTGCGGCCCATAAGAGACGACCGGGATGCCAACTTGTGTAGTGATCGGACTTATATTACCTCTAACTATGAGCCTCACGATGCCCTGTTTCCTGTCAGAATATGCCCCGTCATAGTAGCACTCATAGATCCCTTCATCTGAAGACTGGACGTTGTTGATGTTGAGTGTGAGAGCCGTCTGACCCTGTAGAACGACTCCGTCCTTCCTCCACTCCAGGGCTCCAGTCCTGTTGGAGGCAGGGTTCCGAACCATCTCTAACGTTACTGCGTCTCCCACATTCACGGTACGGGAGAACAGCCGGGGCCTCACGTCAGCTGAAACACAAGAAATAGTAGATACTAAATTGATCCAATCGTTAGCGTATTTTAAAAGTTGGTACGTACATGTAAATTAAATGTCATAGCTTAATATATTGTTTTACTACACTACCCGAAGTTCTATTTCTGAGGACATTTTGGGAGTTACGAAACGCCGGCAGATAACCTTTCGCCGTTTAGCAAAGAACGAAATGTATTTACCTCTACCTCCAAGCTGGTGTAGTAATAACTCTAAACAAAATATCATACAACTTTGCATCCGTCTTTCGATCATTGATTTTAGCCAACCTAGCTATTTGAACAAACTAAGTGGATAAATAGATATAAATGAAGTGACATTGATATTCAATAACAAATATCGGGACTCGTAAATAGAATGGGATATCAAAGTTCTTTGATCTTAATCAACCAAATCTTTTCTCATCTGACAACATACGTTTCAATATTCTTTCTTTTACATTTACCTAACTCAAGTGATAATGACTGGACGTTCTTCAATATGTATATTAAATCTAGTCCATAGGAAGGGGCATCAAGAACGTTTTCAGGTAAGATGAAATATGTGATGAAAGAGCTTTGATATTATATAACTATTGGGACTTTTTGAAAGTTTCTTACCGTCCTCTCTCATCTTGAACGTGATGACTTTGTCAGAGACGCCGTTTTGTCGACCCAGGCAGGAGTAGGCGTTAGTGAGATGTGTTGGATTGTCGTTTCTGTCATAAGGCCAGATCCTCACTCGCCTATGGGGAGGACTAGATCCGCCTCCGGTATTTCTACCTAAGGCAAACCGCCGTCCTGACCCTGTATCTAGTTCAAGCTTGAACCAATAGTTGTCACTTGGCCTCAAAAGCGTCCCGGTGTAGTAGCAGTATAACCAAGTGAAATCCTGGTCCTGGAAATTTGGGTATCTTCGGTCCGTGTCCGGATAGTATGGAAACCTGCTGGTCATTGTGATGTCAGCTACTCCTGGAGTAAAGATTGCAATGAATTTTCTGTACGACTGAAATTCACAGATTTATCACCATTACCTTCGACAAAAATTGACGAAGGTTATGTTTTCCTGGCCGTGTGTCTGTCTGTCTGTCTGTGAACAGCATAACTCGAGAAAGCTTAGTGGATTATCTTGATATTTGGTAGGTGGGTAGGTCTTCATGAGACATGGAACTGATTAGATTTTGGGCCCCCTAGCGTCTTGTTATGGTACTGCAGCTGAATTTCCAGTTTTGATATCTTGTGATCTGGACATGCAAGGGTCATGAAATTTAGATGGTACATAGCTCTTGGGCTGGGAATAAAGTGACACGAGTTTGAAGTGATGCTTGACATAATAATATTCCAATTATGCAAATATTAATGTAATTTTCATAATTAATGAGGAAATTCTATAAATCAGCTGCATTCCATGATAGGACTAATCAAGCTTGTGTCATATGTAATCAAGAACGGCAGAAATACAGGCAGGTATCAATTATGCAAATGAGGACTTAATTTGCCTAATTAATGAGAAAATGTTATAATTACATAGTGGTAACTGCCCCTGGAATTTCATACATGGGATATTTGAAAGTTATGTGAAGGTGAACATAATTAAACATAACTTATTTAAATAAGGACCTCATTTGCATAATTTATGAGGACATGCTATAATGGCATG